AACCATCTTCTTCTTCTTCTTCTTCTTCTTCTTCTTCTTCTTCTTCTTCTTCTTCTTCTTCTTCTTCTTCTTCTTAATAAATAAGCATAATGTTACTAATATACATGTATATCTCTAAAAATAAAGCTCGCATTTTATGTTTCCAATAACCGAAATTGTTGTACACTGGTCGTGATTCAATAAGTCAAAACATTTTTTTTTAAAATAAAAAAATATGCAGATGTTTTACACCATCATCGAAATAAACAAAAAATCATAGTATACTTTCTCTGAACAGCGTAAGCACTCATTTATTTTTTTACCTCCAGGTAAAGAAGACAAGCCAGGTAAAGAAGAGCCACCTATTGCTGATGACAATTGTGTACAGTCAGTGGTAAACCAAGCGCCACATTAATCGCAGAAAGTAAGGAAGAAATCGCACGTTTTTTCTTACATTGATATGTCCACAGCACCTGCCTATTTTGTTAATTGTAGATCAATGAAGAAGTAGAGCCTATCGTTTAATAGTTCGATAATTCTTAATTATCTTCATAAATATCTTTGCATCACAGTTTAAGGTTAGGGGTCAAAGGCTGTTTTGACGCGCAACTGATAAGAAGATCGAAACTTGACGTGGTGCATTAACAACATTTAGAAAATTAAAATTCAATAATAAATTGTTGTATTTGCATGAAATTTGGTACACCAGTTGCTTGTATGCAACCATCCCTTGCGTACAAAAATTATTATCGTATATTAACAATTTTATGTTTCTTGTTATCTTTTAATCATATTTTTTTCAAAACATCATTTTTTAAAGTTAACACACTTTTCTGGACTACTCTGAAGTTTATCAGTCGATTTACTTCAAATTTGCAGAAAGTGTCATCCAAATACCCGTTTTCAATTGTATAATGAAACATTTATTTAAAATATTGAATACATTGTGTTTTATGACTAAATTTTGAAATAAATTTGATTTTTGGGGAAAGTTTTTTGGGATGCTAATTTTCTAAGCTCGCAATTCCTTATCTTGAAAGATGTAAAACAGTTCTCCAATATGTTAATAACATTACTTCAAATTGATAAATATTTCTTTAGAAATACCAGTAATTACTTATCGATTTTAACGAATAAAAGTTGCTATGTGTCCCCATGATTAGGAATAACAAACAATACAAACATAACGTTGTTTAATGTAGATGTACAGGTACCGTGCCAGACCTAGTCTACAGTTCTAAAGGTATCTTTAGAATTTGGCACAACAAAGTCTTCAAAGTGGCTTGTCTCTGATTTTTAACGTCAGTCTCAGACTCAAAGTTTGAGGAGACAAATTCCCGTTCTAGAATCTCTTCATAATAATATGGTTCTTCCCGTTTGCCTTCGTAACTTAAAAATGCTGACAGCCTTACTTTACGATCCTCACCAATCTTCCCCACAGGAACCACATCCAACCTTTTGCGACGAGGTTTCTCTGAAGGTGCAGCCGGATCACCAAATCGCATTTCAAGATTCGAGGATGTCTCCGAAATAGAAATATTGATTCTGGTACCAGCATTATTAGCTTTCTCTCTCTGCGAATGGGAAGATTCTCAACGGGATATTTGTCACGTGCTTTTCAGAGTAGATCTACATCATCAGAAGTTCTGGCGTATACTTATGCCACCAGGCTTCGGTTTGTAGCTCTGTGGTGTGTTGTTAGTTCAATGTATAATCGGCCTGGGAAAAATATCCCCTTCCTACCCACCAAAAAAACAACTATACTCAAAAACATATTATTGTGATGACTGGGTACCGCAGGTCAAAAAAATATTTTCTTCAATATTCATTACAACTTGCCAAGTCACTGGTTTCAATTTGTTAATGCGACAAGGTTTACTGATGTTTGAACAAGTACCGGTACCGTAACCAAATAGGTATGGCGAAATCTGTAGTCATAATTAACAAATACGTAGGCTTTCAGCCCGTTTTCGACCCTGAACTGAAAAGCAAACACATAATAAGTGTATTATGTTACATATAAGACCCTGATATGTTGGAAAAGAACAAATTACAAATTGTATGTATAAAAATCGCAAAATAGCACTTTCTGAGTCCAAATACAGGCACCAGCTCATGGTGCCTTAGTCACCCCGACAGTGTCAATGGATACTAGGTGGGGTGACTAAAGCATCTCCTGTCAAAACCTTATCTTACATAATATTTTCTTTCAATTACATGAATTCATCTGACTATCCAAGAAACTAATGCTCACTTTGAAACATTTTAAGTACCATAGATTAGGAGGTACTCACCAAAGTTTGATGGAATCTTGCAGAGGTCCACTTCAAATGTATGCCGTAGCCATCTTAAAACCAAACCTCAGATTCGCCGAAAATGTTCTGGCTGAGCAATGTTTATTTAAAAACACACCTAATTGATTATTCTTTTCGGTACTGCACTGCTTGATCACTTAAAATCACTTTTGCTTTCTAAGAATGTAGATCTAATACTAAAATCATTATAACATGTTTGCCTGTTCACATGCCCTAGACACCCCACAGTGCCTCAGGATTACAAAGGTCTATCTGCTCAGTACTTAGTTTTTGAGAAATCTGACGTCAAAGATATTGCGTTTCAAATCGTATCACGCTTCACTCTTCGAATGCAATTCTTTGAATAGTATCATGATAGCAGCTTCGAAAAATGTTACGATTTTAATGGAGCAGACAGAAAATTACTTTGGTTTTTGTTCTCGTGGTCTTATTAACTCAAAACGACAAAAAGTGTCAGATAGAACTCTATACATGTAGTTCTAAGGTAGCGATTCCTTGTCAGAGAACATTTTTACATAGGTCTTCTATATAAACCGTGAAGACATTTTTTTATAAAACTTCATTTTTTATCCCCAAAAAATAAAATATTTGTTAACATTTGTATATATATTTTTGTGTGTGTAAAGAGTTGGTAGAATTTCATATACCTTAATTAAAATGCAAAATATTTGTATGGTAAATATTTTTTTTAGTAGATCAGCTTTATAAAGATTGAACAGATAGGCCTATCCATATTCTACTTTGCGAAAAAAATAAAATTGATGTAGGATAAGATTTTATGTAGATATTCTTTAAATAGAATGAACAGATTTACATAAAACTTAGTTTCAAAATGAAATATATATATATATATATATATATATATATATATATATATATATATATATATATATATATACACATATCCTTATATACAAACTTTAGGTTTAAACTAAAATGATTGTTTCATAACATTATTTATTTATCTTTCAGTCATTTAGATCTTCTTCATAGAAATTGAAATACATGTAAATAGGTTCCAGAAACTGCGTTTCAGTTTTACCTGTGTGACTGTGTGCACGCATTTGTGTGTTTTTCTGTTTTGACTTGTAGTAAAAGTGGGGAGGCCAGTCTTAGATTATGTTAATGGGTTTTTTTCAGTGGGTGTAAAAAGTTATTTTTATTTAAATTATATTTTTTCTTCTTGAAAAAAATGTTCTTTTGTATGTCAAGCAATTCTTACTTATTTTATGTATATTTTAAAGATTCAGTTGATACCTATTGAGAACATAATATAGAAATCTAGTAAATAAAACTAATTTTCTGTATAACTTATGTATGAAGTAGGTAATAGAAAACAAAAATAACTTAATAAATGAATGAAAGAATACTACATCCGAAATTTTGCAAAGAGCAGTCGAGATTTAATAAGAAAACACAGCTTTTTTCGGTCGTTCCGAAACTTTTGTTGTCACCTAAAGGGGAATCTTCTTAGAGGGCTAAACCTCTAATCAATATTATCGTGAAATGTGATTGCCTCTTAGGGCGGAAAATAGGGGGAGGGGTCCACACCCCAAAAGTCCCAATTCTGTGAAAATTAAGGATTTTCAGTTATAGACATATTTAGATTCTTCATACTTTTCTACAACTGTTTCATAGCATTAGAACCCCAAAAGCCTTATTTCTTCCCATACCGGGGGCTCCAGTGGCTATGTAAGTAGGCCTACATTGCGTCCTTGAACAAGACACGATAACCCTAGCTCAAAATGCAGGGCGCTGCACAGTGGCGACCGACAATGGTATTGTTGTAAACTGTTCTGTATTTGTGTAATATTTGTGTAAGCATTTATATGTATGTAGCCTACGTATTTATAATTATGTAATAGTATGTATGTGTGCATGTGTATATATGTTTGCTATTGTAAACCAAAGTGCCCTTCTGGGACCAAAAAGTGTAATCTATTATTATTATTATTATTATTATTATTATTATTATTATTATTATTATTATTATTATTGTTATTGTTATTATTATTATTGTTATTGTTATTATTATTATTATTATTGTTATTGTTATTATTATTATTATTATTATTATTACTATTATTATTATTATTATTATTATTACTATTATTATTATTACATGTATATTTAGGCACTTCAATGAAATTTTCAAACTTCTCCAAAGGGAATAAAATTAGGTCTACAGGAAAGAGCTTGGCTTTCTGTTTTCCGAGCTTTAAAAATTGTTTTGCTATCTTTGTTAGTTCAGAAGCAGCGACCATTTTTATAAATCTTTTTTCGCCCTGATTTGGCCAAATTTTTGCACTGCGTTTTGTGCCACCAAACTTCCAAATTTTGCTTCAAAACGTCACAAAATCGTTAATAATAGTTGTATCGTAACCATTGAGGTATCATTTTGTTTGTTGTTTTATGTAGAATCAATATGAAAATAAAAGTCAAGTACATGAAGAGAAAAATTCTATTTACCGTTTAATTACGTCATAAACGTGACGTCGGGAGTCCAATGCCTATCATCCAAATAAAGAAACGGGCATACTTTCCATAATAAAGATCACATTTTCAAAAGAAAAAATCACTCTTTTTGTTATAATGAGTTCTTTAACTTGCTGAAAAATCATTAAAATTGAAAGCAGTTTCAGTCTTACATGCATATAACTCAAGCAGGAGGTTGGCGGGTGCTGTGGGTGTGGTTTGTTCCTTTTTTTTTCGTTTTAACAATCAACCGTCCTTATCTGTCGGCGTTCGTTTCTGCGTATGTTACACTCTTGTAACACCTCTAATCTTCGGCGTTTATATGACCTATTTGAGTTGCAAGTGCCGTTAAACCCATGCTAAAACTAAACTAAAAGTAAAAGAGCATAACACAGACTTGAAGAATGGGAAATTAAACGAATATGGTATAAAGCGGGAGATTGATGCAAGAATCACCATAGAACATGATAATTATTAATTACTGAGGGGCATCAAATACATATATATTATATATGCTCCATGCAATGACTCATACCCAGAAGAACAGCGATTACAGTTCTCTGATCAACTGAGTGATCTTTTAAACACCGTGGATGACAAAAATGATTTAACAATCATGGGGGACTTTAACGGCAGAGTGGAAACAAGGAAGACGACGTGGGAGAGATACATGAGGCCACACAGTGACAGAGGAACAGATCAAAACAGCAAATGAGAAATGCTACATATTGATTTAATCAAAATCAGTTTTATATTTTATTGCACAAGTCTACTTTCTTGCACAATTTAACTGACCGTGTGCGCGAACGTCAAATAAATTGTGTAATAATAATTTTTCTTTCAGATTTCGTACCTCCATCATGTATGGGGTGTCAGATAAAGAAGAAGACAGGGCATTTCAGTTGGAGTTGATCGGGGTTTACAAAAGTTTACCAGCCCTTTAAAGCGTGAAGTGTGACGATTACAGACACAGACAAAATAAAGATGCAGCTTACGGTGTATTGATTAAAGATTTCCAGGAAAAGTACCAAAACTAAACAAGAAAAGATTTTTTTTTAAATGAATGCCTACAGAACAAATTATCGCAAGGAATTAAAGAAAGTGCATGACTCCGAAAATTCTTGTACAGGGACGGACCAGATTTATGAACCAACTCTGTGGTATTCCAATGCCCGTTTCCTTTTTGGGAATTCATCTTCGTTTTCTGTAGCAACAGCTACTGCCATAGCTATTGCTGGGTCGAAATCACCCATCCTGTCTCAGCGGGTTGCAAGACCAATTGAGCTTGGTATACGCAATTAAATTGTCAATTATAATTATACTGAGCTGTGAATTGGAAACCTAAAAACTGTCATTTATATTATGCAACCAGGATTGCTCAATATGATTAATCGTTTTATATCCAGAAATTGAGATCAGAGTTTTGTTTCGTTCCTTTTTTATTTCGATATTGCTGATCTGCTTATCGAAATAATTTATGCTGTCCTACAGTTTTTAGGGGGTTAAAATAATATACACATGATCATTTATCCAGTATTGCTAAATTATTATTGTATATTCGATGTTTGGCAGTGCCAAAGATTTCCTGAAATTTTCTCTGTAGTTTTTGATTACTTTTAAATAAATCTTATTGTCTTCATCAGTTCTCGTCTGGGTAGGTCTCGACTATGTTAAAGTTGCCAGTTTTCTATAATATTATGTTACAATTACATATATCTAAACGATTAATCGAAGTGACTATTCGGACTCGAGTCCGAATATGAAAAAATGTTATTCGGACTCTGATTCTTGTCCACCATGACATCACTTCCGTCTTCCTGTGACTCGTGACTCCGGCTTCCTGTCCTGCCTCACTCGTGACTCGCCTCAGGCTGGGTAGAGACTGGGATTACTTCGGGCAAAAAGGCGTTTTGTGCAGGAGCCGAGTTTTTATCTTATGATGAATTTGAGGCCGGCCTGAAAAGTTATTGCGCTTCTAATAAATGTTTATTTGTCAAGAGGTCATCAGAAGCAATTAAAGATGGCTCGTTAGCGTGTGTCGGGGTCGGATGGGCGGCCTGCACACGTGTGGCTGTGTGCGTGTATGGGAGGGGGGTGGGGGGGCACTATCGGTCCGGGCGTTGAACGCCGCATGCGCGTCAGTCTTTTTCCCCTTGGCAACTGATCATTATTACAATAATAAGCTAATCTTGACGTAGATCTACGTTATGAATTGTGCGCTGGTCTATGGAATCAAAAGTTGCCGTATGCTCAGCTCTACACAGCAACACAACTTTTTCTTGGTAAGCAATCGAGATGACACAGGCTTGTGTATTTCAACGAATCGGTCTTTTTTTTTTACACAGCTATGAGGCGGCGGGCATCGGATCGGCAGAAAAGGTGTGGGGGAAACTAAAAAATGGCGGAAAATTGGAGGCCACGAACGTTAGATCTATAGAACGAAGACACTTCCTTTTTTCCGGACCTGAGTCCGAATAACATTTTTTCGTATTCGGACTCGAGTCCGAATAAAAGAATTTTTTTTATTCGGACTCGAGTCCGAATATGAAAAAATGTTATTCGGACTCGAGTCCGAATAACGACGGCCATATCTAAAACGCTTGTATAAAAAGTTGTCCCTTTCAGCTCTTATTTCTTCTACTTCGCGATTGGTGAGATTTATGGTATACTCTCTAACTGTAGTAGTCCCATGTTTAATCATGCATGTAATTATACGCGGTCATAGTCACCTTCAAGGTCGTCTCTTTTTGTTCTGAAAACTGGTGAAAATTCATTTTGATTTTTTAGTTTACTTTCTTCGGCTGGATTTGTGTTCTCACAAAACTTCTCACACTTAGAATGTGGATGTCGTCATACTATTATTCACTCATAACGAATTGGCCCGCATTAAATGCATTCAGAAATGTGTGTGTTTGGCGTGTGCAATGGTGTGGTTTGCTCCTTCTTTACAGTGAAACACCTAACATCGTTAAATCTCTCCTCCTTTCTCTTTGTGTTTGTTACTATCTTGTAAAATCTCTAACCTAAGGCACGTAGAATCTATATATATATGGCCTAATTGTGTTGCACGTATCTTAAAACTTTTATTGAAAAAAAAATCTAGAAAAAGAAAATCACCCCAAAAAAGGTTGCAGAAAGGTCCCAAGAAAGAACTGCGGCCTCGAATAAAGCTGAGTTTTGTGTACAGTCCTTGTATGTTTTCATAACATTACTTGGCCTTTGTTCGTTTTTACAATTATTTTATTCTGGATTTGTGTCTCGTTTCGTTATTTTGAGTC